GCCCTGAGAGGCTGTGGGGAGAGTTCCATGAGCTGCTTCTTCAGTGTCACTCACTCCTGTTTCTTACCTTGGGCTTTCCTTCTTTCTCTTTCTCCTCTGGCTCTCCTGCTCATCCTCAAGGTAATGATTTATTTCTTTTATATTCCTGACTGATTTATTCCCATTTGTCCCTGAGGCCTTTGTACTACTACTCAGGTATGGAGTTGCAGGACCAGGGTAGGGGTTCTGTTGACGTCGCCAACAGGCTGTGTTACCTTGGGCAGGTCATGTGAGATCCTGACCCTGAGGTTTCTTTCTCTTAATCACACCTGCCCATCTATTTCGTTGGGCTATGGTGAGGGTCAAATAAAATAAACTCATGGACATTTCCTTTAAAGCATAAAGCATGACATAAATGTATGACATTAGCATTCCTAGCCTCCCCATGTAGCCTTATCCACTCCCTGCTGTGGTGTCCAGCATGGGCTTCAGCCATGGTGCCTATTCTGTTACTTGCTTGTTTACCTGTGCACCCGTGAGGGCCTCGGGTCTTACTCTCTTTGAATTTTTTAGAGCTTAACACAGCACTTGTTGGCATGGATAGGGGCTAGTAAATGTTTGAATGAGTGGGTCAGGAATGCCTGTCTGAAGGAAGTTTGTGGTCATAGTTGTCATCTTTTTTTTTTTTTTTTTAAATTGAGCAAAGCCTCCCTGTTACATCTCTATGTTTCTTGATATTAGCCTTGCTAAAAAGTAGGCTTTTGATCCTTTCTTGTGTTTCTTTTTGCAGGTGGCTAAATTCCATTGCCTGTGATTGCCTTCCCTGAGACCTATGCTTACTTTATAAATATTCTTCTGATGAGTCTTTAAAAAAAAAAGACAAATCAAGAAATGATTCTAGATTTTGAATTAAAGATAAAATATCTGATATTTGTTATTTGGTTATTCATTTAACAAATGTGTTAAGTACCTTTCATGTACCAAGCTCCGTTCTTCAGGCTGGGGATGCAACAGTGGACAAAGCAGATGCGATTTCTGCCCTCATGCTGCTTACATTCTAGCAGCCAGACAGTGAGGCAGCAAATTAATAAAGGGATGATTTCAACTCATCTGAAGTGCTGTCAGGGGGAATCACGCGAAGAGGATGCCCAGACCAATGAGGAGTTCTCAACACATGTACATAAACTGAGTGTGCTGTAGATGCTGTGCTTCCGGGTTCACTGTGCGTTGGGTTCCCTGGAACGTATCTAGTTGTCCTGTTAGTGAGCATTTAAGCTCAACACCACCAATGCCTTACCCACAAGAAAGATATTGGATGGCTGAGGATAAAGGTGGTTGTTACCTGGACCTTTGGCCTCATGAGGACATCTCAGTGTATAAGAGGGATCCTTGAACATGATGAGGACCCTCTTTGTTTGGTTTGCTGATATTTGAGTGTCTGAGGGAATGAGGGAGTAGGGGAGGGAAAGATGGGGACTTGTTGATCTCGCAGTAGCTTTCTGTGCCAGCTTGCTGCATCAGCACACCCATATCCTCCATGCTAGAGAAATGCCAGCTTATGGCATTCTGTATCTGAGGCACATTCACTGCAGAGCCTACCAAGGGAGAGGGCCGGGGAGAGGAGGAAATGTGGAGTGACACATAGGGGCACTTGCACATTTCTTTGAGGAAGTCATGTGTGATCCAGATTCTGAAGGATGAGACCTGTTGATGGAAAAAAATTGATGCTTTTAAACAATTAAAATTAGTTTTATTCAGAAGTCTTGCTGAGGTTTGCAACCAGGGCGAGTCAAGAGAGTGTCTGTTAGACTGCTCCAAAGTAGTGCTTTAGCCCACAGTTTATATACAGGTGGCGCACTCTGCATGTGCTCAGAAGTTACATTAAATGTGCTCAGAAGTTACATTAAGTGTGCTCGGAAATTACATTAGAGCAAAATCTCATCAAGGTTTGGGTGTGAGGGTCCATCTGGTTATAGATTATAGAGGCATAATCATTAATCCTGTCAGATATTATGTGCAGGAAGAGGCAAGGGCTGAGACAAATCTATCTTTTCTGAAAATGCCGTGATTCAGGCAGGAGATGTGGGAACCGGTGCTGTATCCTGCTTATCATCTTCAGGGCATTCTTCTGAAGGGCTGTGCGGAGTCTTTGAGTCAGGGGCTTTGTAAAATTCTGCTGGCAAGGGATTTTGTGGAATTCTGCTGTTATGTAAGCAGGATGGACAGACATAGTGTCTGCATTTGCTACTTTGTCTCATACACTGAACCAGCTGCATGAAGATCTGGGAGTGGGGGTAGCATCCTGCAGGGGCCCCAAGTGGAGAATGTGTTTGGGAAGTTTCGGAAATGGAAAGAATCCACAGTGGCTAGAGGATAGGGAGTGAAGGGGAGAGTGGTGTGCAGTGAAGTTAGTGTTGAGTGGGGGAAATTGGGCAGGGCCTTGCCGGCCATGGTAAAGATTTTGGATTTTAAGTCCTACTGGAGGCAGATGGAAGGTTTTGAGTAGAGGAGTTGATCTGATTTGATTGACTCTATTAAATATTCGTGTTGGCTGCTACGGGGAATGGAAGAAGAGTGGAAACAGGGAACCCAGGCAATGGGCAGAGGTCGCGGCCTGTGTGAGGGTTCATGGCCACATAGACCAGGCAGGGCCGTCCAGGGCTGGAACACGTACGTGATAAAGGCAGGCTAATAGAATGGCATACTGGGGATTGGTAGTGAGGAGTGATGCCCAGGCTGTGGCCAGAGCAGCGGGGTGGATGGAGGTTCCACCTTACTGAGATGGAAGAGCCTGAGGGAAGAACAGGATCTGATGGAGAACTTCCCTTTGGACACGTTTAATTTGAGAGGGCTTTAAGATCCTCACGTGGAGAATCAGCTGGCAGCAGGCTGTGAGACTAGAGCCTACAGTGGGAGATGTCAGGGCTGCAGATGGAAATCAGGAGTCCTCAGCAGAGATAAGATTTGTCTTTTGATTTCCCCAAGGATTTTGAGGGTTAGGCTGTTTCTTGTAGGTTTACAAGGTATAGTCATTATCATTGTATGTGTAGGCTAATTCATGAATTCTCAATTCATTCAAGAAAATATTGAACTAAATACTGTGCTAGATGCATGGGACATAATGATTCATGAGATAGACTGTGGGTTCTGTGAGGGCAGGGAATATGTCTAACGGAGGAGACAGAGCATTCCCTCAGAATTAAGTCAGGAATTCAATCAGAATTCCACCATAATTAAGTAAAATGTGATGTGTTCTGTGACAGGGAAGCATAGAGTGGGGGCTACACAGCAGAGGCGCAGACCTAGTCTTGGGGGTAAGGTGGGGATGTTTCAGCTGACTGCTGAGGGGGAGTGGGAGCCAGCTGAGTGAAGCCGGCTTCAGAAAGAGGGCTCAGTGAGTGGTAGATGGGCTAGCAGTTTGCATTAGAGTTGAAGTGTACTGAACTCTTTCTTGGAACTGGCAGATTCTGCACAAGGCACTCAAGGATTCCTTGGCAAGATTGTGTAGCTCACAGGAATGTTAATATTCGTGTGGGTTGATGATACTAGTTTCCTTGCTACCTGCTTTCACACAGTAAATTTGTTCCTTGCTAGGAATTTTCACAGCTCTGTGCCCAGTTTTACTTTGGTGCAGTAAATATAGTGTGAAATTGGCAGCTCGTAAGACTTTATAAACACCTTACATGCATTATTTCAAAGAGCCAGGGCACATTTTTGCATGAAAAGCTCTTATACAATTATCAGAGAAAAACAACTCTTCAGAATCATCTGCGTTATTGCTAACATTATGTAATTTGAACACCATAGTATGTATATTCCCATAGATTCAGTGTTAGGACTGCAAAGACAATTGGTACAACACTGTTACAGACTGAAGAGCAACACATGTTTTTCTTGAGTAATCCTTGCAGAATTTTAAGGAAGCTTTTTGTTGTTTGTTTGTTTTTTGCTTTGTTTTGTTTTTAAGAGACAGGGGTCTCACTCTGTTGCCCAGGCTGAAGTGCAGTGGCTCAACCATAGCTCACTGTAGCCTCAAGCTCCTGGGCTCGGGCGATCCTCCTGCCTCAGCTTCCCAAGTAGCTGGGATTATAGGTGTGAGCTACAATGCCTGGCTCCAGGAAGCTGTTTTTACTTTTCCTCAGGTGCTAGTGTATTCTCCCAAAGTGCCAACTCCTTGGTCAGGACTGTAAATGGCACAAACAACCTTGTTTGCTAAGGAAAATATACAAAGGTATGTTGACAGTGGGTGACTACTTTGACCCCCAGCATTGTGAGGTTTTACCCTGGCTGACCGGGGCCCTTGGAAGAACTGCCTGTGTTGCTACTCAGCCCCAGTGGGAGTTGTCACTGTGCTAAGTTTCCCACACCCCCGCCTATCTGTCCACAGTCTGTGGTTTAGCAAAACTGTCTAGTACAACAGGGGCAACTCTAGGAACACGTGGTAGGTCCTACAGTGTCCATACATGAGTGGGGCAGGTCATCTAGAAGCTTGTGGTTGGGGAGCCTGTGCTAGTTCACTTGAGCTGGTTTCTGTTTTCATGCCCAGAGAGGTATGTTGGTGGGGAGGAAGCAGAAATTGGTCCATTTAGGAGCTCCACCAGCAAAGTTGTTTTTCAGAGGTACAACCCTATCTCCTCTTCACAGCCTGTGTCAAAAACTGCCTCCTTCATGAACCTCTACTTCCTCATCCCCTGACAGGAAGTCATGTTGTCCCTCCCCAGACCTGCCCCTGCTTACCTCTGACCTTCTAGCTGGTCTGTCGTTGCTGGCGCCTGTCAGCTCCAACCTCCCTGAATTGGCCCCACAGTCTCCTGAGCAGGGCTGAGTGATGGGTGGTACCCAACGTTCAATTAAGAACTCTCTTAGGTGGAGAATAAACAAACAGGAATACTGCTTTGTTCTGTGTTGTCTTATAACGGAATGAAACTAGTTGTACTTGCCTTCTCTTCAGAGAAGGTTGTTTCTAAATTCTGGTAATTGTATAAAGTGAATTGTTGTAAATGGAAACTTTTTCTTTTCAGATAATGTGGATGCAAGTGATCTTAAGCAGTTTTTTGAGACCAACTATTCTCAGATATATTTCATCTTCTATGAAAATTTTATAACACTGGAAAATAGTTTGAAATTAAAAGGTAAGCATTTCTGTGTATTTTTTTTTTAAACATGCAGGCATTTTTATAAGTTGTGTATATCTTGAGCTACAAATTATACATTTTTAAGCCTTCTGTCTTGCCAAGACTTTAGCAAAGCTGTGAGAGCCTGGTGGACAGGGTGGCATCTTTGTTTCTCTTGAGCTTTCACTTATACAGATGTTAATTGAACAACACATGGCTAGCAAAAATAGCAGAAGAAACCCTTACAGAGCATGATTTTCAAAGGAATAAGTTACTTAGAAAGAAAAGTTATGCATGCGTACTGTTTAAAAAATTTGGATTCTGTAAAAGGACCTGAAAGGAAAACTCAACTGTCTGTTTTGCCCTGCTTGCAGAGGCAGCACTATGAAAGATTTCCTGCATCTCCTTCCAGATATATTATTAGTGTATTATGTTTATATATGTTTGTGACTATATTCTTTGAAAATCAAACCAACAAGGTCACATTATACATTCTGTTCTGTGTACATTTATACATCCTGTCACCTAAGCGGCAGGATAGTGTAGCCTGGGGAGCCAGACTGGGTTGGGAACCCGGCCCCACGCTTCTGGCTGTTTCTCTTTGGCGTCCTCTTGTCAGCATTAAACAGGTTCACAGGTATCCTAGCATTTTAGGACAGAGTTTGACACATAGTCCATGGTCAGTGAGTAGTAGCTGCCGTCACCGTCTTCCTTCATTTTCGTGTAGTCTGTGGGCTGAATCTGAATCCCTATAGCTCTATGAAGTAGGTGTTACTCATTCATTTAAAAAAGAAGCCATATGCATAAATAACTGTGAAAAAAGTTAAAAAGTTAGTTGTTCTGTAAGACATTGAGACAGAATTCTGTGGTTCTTGGGAAGTGAGAGAGATGACTTCCTGCTGAGTGTATAGATGAGGCTTTGGGGAAGAGGTGGCCTTGGGAATGGACCTTGAAGGACAGCAGGATTTCAGGTGGAAGAGAGCGGCACTGCTGGTGGAGGGGAGAACGTGAGTAGAGCTAGGGCTGTTCTTACGACATGTATGGGAAAAGCTTTTTTTTTTTTTTTTCCTCTTGCAGCAAAGGTGTGTGAAAGAGATTTGCAGGAAATTAGATAATGCTTGCAAGGAGCCTTGAATTGCAGGCTAAGGAGTTTGGACTTTGTTCTGGAGGTGGTTAGAGCTCTTGAAAGCGTTTGCTACTATGACAACTGTCTTGTAAAGTAGCAAGTGAACTAGAAGCAGGAACACCAATTGGAAGGCTGATGCTATCATTCATGTGAGGGATGGTGATGCCTGATCCAGGGAGGCAGTAGTTAAGGGAAAAGAAAAGTGTTGTGTCTCAGTGGATCTACCATCTATGATACTTGGTTATAAGGGAAAGGGAGAAGTCAAAGATGCTTTCAGGACACTGAGTCTGCTTTGTGAGGTACCGTTAGCAGTAGGAACCCTGGAGGGGAGCCAGATTTGGAAGGCAGGAGGGTGAGAGTGGCTTTGGGCAGTCTATGTTTGAGGTGCCTGGGGGATACCTTGGTGTAGGTGTTGGCTGGACGGTACAATGTAGGTGACTGGATCTTGGGAGAAAAGAGGTGAAATCATGCTATTGCCAAGGGAAAAAGTATACAGAGAAAGAGAGTGATGGTCAGAACTTTTAGATAATTACTTATTTTATTGGGTATATGCAAAGGAAAGTGATGGAGTAGTGGGAGGGGTGCCAGGAAAGGGTTTTGTCACAGAGGCCCAGGGGAGAGAGAATTGAAGTCATGTAGGGTCAGGCCGTTGGTGCGTGAGATGCAGCTGGGCTGGGGAGTAAGAACCCCTCAGTGTGCTGGTCAGTGAGTTCTGAGAGAAAGGTTCTAGGTGAGGAGCAGGTTGGAAGCCAAATAGATGAACATAGAGTCACAGGGCGGTGAGCTGGTGAAGGTGACCCATGAGAATATCCTTTCAGAAAGTTTGATGTGAAGACACAGGTTGTGTCTCACCCTGGTCATGGACAGGTTATTGAGGAATGCATCGGCCTGTTTGCAGACTGAGGAGTGGGTCAGCTGGAGTGGGGGATAACTGATGGTGCAGGTGTTGGGGGAAGTGGGTTGAGACAGGTCAAGGAAGAAGAAGAGACATGGAGAGGAGTGTACAGGTGGCCTTTCTATGTACGGAGGAGCAGATAAGGGGATAGTGTAGATATGGAGACATTTTGAGATGGAGAGGAAAAATTGAGGGACCCCTTGTCAGATGCCCTGATTGCTCCTATAGAACAGAGGCAGTTGTCAAGCATGGAGCGGAAGGAATTCAGGGTGAGGCACTGCGGTGGTCTTTGATTGTGGCCATTCTTGCAATCTACTGCAAAGAATCATAATGAAGAGCCAATAAAAATGGTGAGATTTTTGAAGTTTTTTTGCTTTTAGTATAATCTGTGTTCGATTGGAGTGCAGGGAAGACAGTGTACCCCAAAAAAGAAAAGAAAATGCCTACCAGGAATAATGAAATAAATAATCTTGTGATAACTTCAGCCTTTGCATTTATTCAGGCAAAAACTCCAGAGTTATTGGCTCTATCTTCAAAATACATCCAGAATCACCGGCCTGTTCTCATTGCCTACACTGGTAACACTAAAACTCCTGATATCCTCACCTGGATTATAGCAGTAGCCGCAGAAATGGTCTCCCACCACCACACTTGTGCCCTCTCCCATCCCATAGTTTCTTGTCAAAAGAGCAGCTGGAGTCCTTTAAAAATATGAGTCAAATCATGATTCTTGGCTGTTCTAAACTTTCAAATGGGTTCTCATTCCCAGCCATTACAGTGGTCTCAGGGTCCACCTAATCTGCCTTCCTTTGCCTCACCTACTCTCCAACCTCAGCTGCTCCAACTCTGCCCCTTGTGTGCTCCAGCCTTAAGGGCCTCTGGCTGTTTTCTGACTATGCTAGCCATGCTCAGCTACAGGGACTTTGCATTGTTCAGTTCCTCTGCCTGGAACACACCTCCCCTAAATTTCTATATGGCTTGCTTCCAAACCCCCACATTTCCATATGGCTTGCTTCCTAACCTCAAAGGATCTTGTCTCAGATGTAACCTTACCAGAGAGATGTTCTCTGACTTCCCCAGTCAAAATTGCATACCATCTTTTTAGGCTTCTCTATCTGCCTTCCCTGTTGTTTTTCTCGCTCATTTATGGAATGCCCCCTCCTGCCAGAATATTAACTTTTTGAGGGCAGGAGTTGTTGTCTGTTTTGCTCACTCCTGTATGCTCAGGGCCTAGAATAATCCCTGGCATATAGACATTCTGTAGTAGTTTTTCAACGAATGAGTAAATGATATCTACTTCATTGAGCTGTGGGGATTCAGTTAGATCAGGGGTCTACAGCTTGTAGCTGCCTGTTTTATAAATAAAGTTTTATTGTACAAGCCGTATCCATTTATGTATTGTCTGTGGCTGATTTTGTACTGTAACAGCAGATTTGAGTGTTTGTAAGAGAGGCCTGCAAAGCCTAAGATATTTGCTGTCTGACCCTTTACAGAAGAGGTTTGTTGATTCCTATATTAAATGACGTATGTCAAGCACTTAGCACGATGCTTGGTACACAGAGAGGACAAAAAATGGTAACCTCTGCTGCAGGTGTTGTAGGTTTTATTACTGTTGTTATTATCAATAGAACAATGTGCAGTTGCCCAAAAAGATATACTACTTTTATAGTTATCTGCTCTATGACTTCTTATGTTTCCAACTCAGAAATTTTTCTTTGTGCTGTGCATTCTGCCACAATTTGAGCCAATAAGTAACTAGTTGAGAAATGAATAAATTACCCATCATAGTTCGGTAACAAGTTGGAAAACATGGAAGTTGTGTTCAAACAGCTAGCAGGGGGCAGCTCTGCTGGATGTGGATCCAAGCAGTCTGGCTCGGTTGTCTGTTTGCAATCCTAATGTGTTCTCCATACTGCCTCTTGCTATTTTTTGAATAAATGAATGTATGTTGAGGCTTACTAGTTTTAAGCTGCCTTTTAGCATAATTTGTAATGTCCTAAAGTTTAAATGATGTCATGATAACTAATTATTTTTTAATATTCCAGGGAATAATAAGTCACAAAGGGAGGAGCTGGACTCCATCCTCTTCCTTTTTGAAGTAAGTTTTGATGAATTTATTTAACTTTTATAATTCTTGTTGGAAATAAAGTATTTTTGATCTTTAATTTTATTTGAAGACAAAAATGGCTATTGGTGGACATATTTTTTTTCTTTCCTTCCTTCCTCCCACCCTCCCACTTTTACAAACAGTTCTACAAAGAATTTTCTTGTGATTTTCTTGTTTTGCAAACGTGTGAGAGTTTTTCCTGTATGGGTACCTAGATGTGAAATTATTAGATGGAAGAGTACACACATCTTAAATGGTAGCAGATATTGCTGAATTGCTCTCCAAAAGATCATATAGTCACATTGAGAAACTGCGCTGCAAAAAATAAAAAAATAAAAAACACCTAAAAATGTTATATAAACTGATATGTAAGTCTTATGTAAATTTCGTATACTCTAACATTGGAGATGATTCATCGATACATATAAATACACATATATATACATATATATAAATCCGACATGCAAAAACTTATATTTTTCTACTAGTAAGGTTATGATCTTTATGCATCTGTATATCTGTGTGCATTGATCATATCTTCAATGTTGAAACAGCATTTGAGTGTGATTTTTGAGTTATTAAGCTTAAAGTCTTTCTTGTCCAAATATATTAGTTAAGTGGCCAGATTATGGGTACCTGGAGAACACACTCAGAACTGAATTATAGGTTCTGAAAGTTAATTGTTGGTTTTTGAGAAATTATTTCTGGTTTGAGAGGTGTATGCTTAGGTTGGTGTGAGAAGATGAACTTTTATGGCTATAAAGGAAAGGCCTGATGTGAACAGGTGCAGAGCTGGCTCTAGAGGGAAGCCACTGTAGGAAAGATCTCCTACAGTAGAAGAATTCTCCAGGGCCTTATGATGAGGGGCTTTCTGGGTTTATGGAAAAAAACAAAATATGGGAAACTTCCAGCCCAGGACTTGTCTTCATGGCTAGTGCTCAATAACCCTGGTTCCCCTTTCTCTCCTTTGAGAGCTATATTCCTTTCCAGAGTACACACATTGATTCACTGCATATTCTGTAGTGGTTATTATGTTTCCTTTGGTTACCATCCTTTGAATGAAACCTGTGTAAGTGAGTTGTTTTTAACAGGAGCTTTAATTAAGTGTGTTAGTTAAATATGTATCTACTGACCATCATTTGTACTATTTTATCAACTTAATTATATTATTTATGTAATGGTTAAAGAATCTATAACATATGTAAGTTAGGAAGCATGGTAATAAAGCACATACTCTTGACACCCTCCTCCTTCCCCATTTTAGGAACTAAAAACTACTTAGGTGCTATTCCACCATCCTTTCTCACCTCTGTGGCAGTCATTCCCCTGCATTTTATCATCCTCTTTCTTTTAAAAAATGGCTTTACCACATATATTTATACCCTTAAATAATTTCTTGTGTGGTTTTGTTTGGTTTTGAGTGTAATAGAAATGATCTTCTATGGTACATAATCACCTTTGACATGCTTTTTACCCTCAACATTAATTCTAAGATTTATCCCTGTTTTTAAATTTAGTTCAAGTTTATTCATTCCCACTGCTGGATTAGGTAAATATATGTGACTTGTGTAATTCCTACATTTTGTCTACAGATTTTTTGTTTTCTTGGTAGACAGATTGTCTGTGAGTAAGGAATGAACAGACTTGCTAGTCGGTCTGCTTTCCGCCCTGACTCAGCCTTCCAGTACATTGGTAAATGGAAGTGATAAAGGGTCATCTTGTTTTTGATCTAAAGAGAGTTTTTTTAATGTGAAACATTAAGAGTAATATTTTCTGTAACTTTTTGGTAGATTCTCTATCAAATTAAATAAGTTTGTTTCTATTCCTAGTTTGAGATGTATTTAAAAAATCTTAGATGGGTTTTGAGGTTTTTAAATTTTTTTTCTTGAAAAAATTTGATTGAGATGATGATGATTCTTCTTGAGTATTAATATTGTGAATTATAGTTCTAGATTTTTGGATGGACTAATTACTATTATTATTATTCTTTGAGTCAGGGTATTGCCCAGGCTGGAGTACAGTGGCGTGAACATAGCTTACTGTAGCCTTGACTTCCTGAGCTCAAGTGATCCTCCTGCCTCAGCCTCCCGAGTAGCTGGGACTACATGTGTGCATCACTGTGCCCAGCTAATTTTTTTTCTTATTAATTTGTTGTAGAGATAGGTTCTCCCTATGTTGCCCAGGCTGGTCTCAAACTCCTGGGCTCAAGTGATCTTCCTGCCTTGGCCTCCTACAGTTGTGGGATTATAGGCATGAGGCACTGCACCCAGCCTGGACTAATATTTTGTTTGCATTCTTGGATCTATGTTCACAGCTGAGGTTGGCCTCAGTTTTTCTTTCTCATGCTCATATTGTTTTTGACTGGTCCTGTCATAATGGTTATAAAACCTATTGTCAAGCATTTCTTCTTTCTCTGTTGTATAACATAGTTTTATAAGATTGAAATGAGCTGTCATTGAAAGTTTGTTTACCTTTCCTATATAACCACTTGAAACTGGGGTGCTTTTTTTACTTATGTGAAGATTTTACCAACTTATTCAATTTCTTTGATAGTTTTAGACTTGTTTTAGTATTATTCAGATTTTTCTTTTTTTTTCCTCGATTCAGGTTTGGTAAGTTATATATTTTTCTAAGAATTTGGAGAATTCTAAGGATTTGTTCTTATCGCCAAAGTTTTAAAATGTATTGGCAAAGAAGCTTCTCTTTGAAAAGTCATAAGCCCTTCAGTTTTATCTCCCTTAGCATGGTCTTTATTGTCTTCAAGAAGTTTTTATATTACATACCATAGTAGTGGTGGTGATGGTGGTAGTAGTAGTAGGAGGAGGAGTAGTAGTATTTATGCCACATTTTTACTATCTCCTAGTTGCCATTGTAGCAGCTTTAAACTCTGTTTTTTTGATGTAATTGTTGTTCCTTTAAATGACTTTTCTTTCTGGCCTCTTTTTTTTTTTTTTGGAATCGGGCCTCACTCTGTCCCCCAGGCTGGAGTGCAGTGGTGCGATCTTGGCTCACTGCAAGCTCCACCTCCCGGGTTCACGCCATTCTTCTGCCTCAGCCTCCCGAGTAGCTGGGACTAGAGGCACCCGCCACCACGCCCGGCTAATTTTTGTATTTTTAGTAGAGACGGGGTTTCACCGTGTTAGCCAGGGTGGTCTCGATCTCCTGACCTCGTGATCTATCCGCCTCAGCCTCCCAAAGTGTTGGGATTACAAGGCATGAGCCACTGTGCCCGGCTGCTTCTTTTAAGATCTTTTGTGTCTGTTGTTCTGTAGTTTAATTACAAAATATCTAGTTGAAGATTTCTTATCTTACTTGGTATATATATGTTTCTCATGTCTCTAGATTCATGTTTTACAGTTCTCTAACTTTCTTAGCTATCGTCTTCTCAAATATTGATATGTTTCTGTTCATTCTGGCCATACTTTCTAGGATTCTTATTTAAACTTGTTGATCTATCTTCCCTGTCTCTTAAGCTTGCTTTTATTTTCTCCTCCCCCAATCTGTTTGTGTTGCATTCTGGGAAGTCTCTTCAGTTCTTTCTTCCAGTTCACTGACTCTCTTCTTTTGGAACAAATCTGCTACTTTACCAATCTATTGAGCTGTACATTTCAATGATTTTTTTTCATGTTTTAACAGCTTTTTTGGTTTGGCATTCTTACGTGGCTGGTTGCTTTCGATTGTCTCTTGATCGTTGTTCATTTTTAGACATCTTTTGTTTTCTTAAACATTTACTGCATAATATTTCATATTTTGTATGTGATAATCCTAGTAGCTGAAGTGTTTGTCTAATTATGCTTGTTATTTCAGCTGCCTCTCATTCACAGTGGCTTCTTTTTTGCATATTTTGTGATATTTGATTTTGAGAGTGGTACTGAATGACTACAGATTTCATGTTTGTTAATTCTGGTTTCTCCCAGAAGATTTGTCTTTGCTTTTGCCGGGAGTCTGGGAATGCTCTTGATTGAGGGCACTTTAGCTCCATTTGAGGGTTCTGGTTTATGAATGGAAATTCAGGTTGAGTTCCCTAAACTTACCATGGTTGGGGACTGGGTGCTGGAGGGAACAGCCACCTGTAGATCCTGGCGCTAGTATTGCCATCAGCTCCTTGGCATTCTGCAGTTTTTTCTTTTGCATGTTGCTTACAGATCAGGTTTTGGCTCACTTGTCTTCTGCTTCCTTTCTTCTTCCCTCTTTACTCCTCCTTCTTCCCCTACCATTTTTTAGTCCCTTTTTAGTTTCTCTGTGTTCTTCAAAGCCCAGCAATGTTTTAAGAATTAGATTTGTTGTCGTGGATCTAAGGGCTAGTTGGCTTGCCGCAGGAAAACCCTTCAGAGATTCTAGATCTATCCCTCTCTCAGAAGTTTCAAAACCTTCTCTTCGTGTTCCGAAATTCTAGACGAGGGAGGGTGTTAATACTGATTCATTACCATTTCCAGAGGATTAGTTGCCTATATAATAGAGCAAATATATATTATTCAGGGCTTCATAAAACTTTCATTTTGCATGGTAAATATGAATGAGTAATACACTTGCATTAGTTTTGTTTATGCTTATGTTCCCTCTGTCTTTGGCTTTACAAGGTAGGTTGTAATTTGTATGTTTCATTCTGGGTACTAAGTAATTTCATTGCTGCTTTGTAGGATAGTGCCTTGTAAAGCTTGTAAAGAGATAGTTTATAAGCGTTTGGAAGTGAATACTCATCACTTTGTAAATAATTGGGAAAGGCTGCCTTGAGAAGAGGTGGAGTTAATAAGATGTGTTAAATCACAAAAGCGATACCATGTAGAGATATTCTATAAATAAGAAATGGCTTGGAAGAAAGCATAGAGGTAAGAGATAAGAAGGCATGAAAGAAGAGTATGTAAAGAGAGCTGCTGTCTGCCTTGTAAGTCAGGGATGCCCTGAAAGGGAACCTTGGAAAAGGAAACAGTAGTTTTTAGATGTAGAGTATTGGAGACATTATAGTATTCTGATGAAGTAAGTAATGTGCA